GAGTTGCCAGAGCTACCTCCTAAAAAAGCAGCAGGAGTGGCTGACGAACCTGAGTTGCCAGAGCTACCTCCTAAAAAAGCAGCAGGAGTGGCTGACGAACCTGAGTTGCCAGAGCTACCTCCTAAAAAAGCAGCTGGACGACGAGGAGGGGCTCCTGAACCTCCTCCAGACTGAGATGAGACACGACCAGGAGTATGTGGTCGCATTATATTTTCAGGAGCAGCAGCGGCATCCTCCATGCTTGTGCTCCTCTCTTCTTTTTCTGGCACACTCTCAGGCGAAGCGAGCGATGATGGGGGTCTCAAGCACGCTCGAGCTTCATTGTTCTCAAGGGCGCTCGAAAGGGATATGATCTGTCTGCCGTGATCGTAACAGACAGAACTCGCTGAAGAAGCGGCTGAACTTAAGTTAGAAGGTGAGACCATCTTGATGTTTGGTGGCTCATTCTTCCATAAATAGAGCCGCAGACCGAGGAAGACCAAAGTTCAGTGATTCTTTTTACAGCAAATAAAAAACAGTCTGAGCCTAGAACTCAGGAATACATGTTGCAAGTAGATGAACATGATGTTGAAGACCATTTACTAAATTTCTTTGTTCCTTTAAGTACTTATATGACACAGACTAGAGTGGAACCGGGCTAGGGTGAAACGCTCGGGAACTTTTGCTCCCATTCACGAATGCTACATATTCAGTCAAATTAACATGGTAATTCGGTTGAACAAGAAGCTGCCACTTAATTTTTTTCTAAGTAAAAAGTGCTTATCTTAACAGAAGGAGTCGGCGAAGCCGCTTGTTCAACCGGCCGCGACACCGGTGACGACGCGGTGGTCTCGGTTATAACAGACGGCATAGGCGATGCAGAACTGGATGCGTGAAAATTAGCACACTGAGGAGGCTGCACACCTCCAGGAGCAACTGCACAGTTGTTGTAATGGTGATAAACTACAGGTCGTGGGCCACAGTTGTGACCACTACCAGGTCGCACAGCACTCGACACTTGAGCAGCCCCTGCTCCTTGACCTTGATGTTCCATTTGCATCAACATTAGAGGACTTCTTGAAGAAGATCGGCACGTAATAACGTAAAATCATATTTAGCTTTCCTACTCTTTCTACCTTTTCAATAGTTGCACAGGCGTTCTTGAAGAAGATCGGCACGTAATTTACGTGAAATATTTAGCTTTCCTATTCTTTCTACCTTTTCAATAGTTGCACAGGCGTCATGATCCTAAGTAGGCATGGCCTCTTCTACTACAACAGACGAGTAGGAGTAGGCGCCACCTAAGTAGGCATGGCCTCTTCTACTACAACAGACGAGTAGGAGTAGAGACGAGTAGGAATAGGCGCCAGTATTAGGAGCAGTCGTAGTGTGCTGCCCATACCCATTCATGGGGTCGTATATAAGGTGGCCGTCTAATTGTTTAAGTATGCGTCATGATCCTATTTAGCTAAAAGCCAATTTCCTGTAGGCTGAGCCTTAAAAAGAATGCTCCTACCACAGGTACAACAGGTACAGGCACCAGCATGATAGCCGGACCCGCGGCGATAATCGGCGCGGGAAGAAAACTGCAATCGCGACCTCCTTGTCCTACAAGAGCGCCACCTTGCTGATATGTTGCCGCAGCCACGACAGGAACTCCTTGCTGAAGGCAAGCGCTCGTACCTGTCTGGGCAGAAGCCTCGTCCTCTATCCCTTGTCCTGGTTGCATCACAGAAAAAGACGAGGCTCCTGCTCTTGCATCGCGTACTTGTTCATCTTCTAGTAAACCTCCTCCTGCTCTTGCATCGCGTACAGAAGTACTACGCTCATCTTCATCTAGTAAATAAAAAGCAGGCTCTGGTTCTTGATCAACATGTGTATGTACTTGATCAACAAGTGGTTCTTTCTCAACAGACGGCTTTGGGTCTCCACCTGTTCTTTCCGGATTCGTACGGCCATCAACATCATCAAGCACATCCACTTCTTCATCTTCGTCATGATCATGATGCTCCCTCGGCAGACCAAAGGCAAGTTGAAGATGACCGTTACGAAGATTAGAGCTTCTACCTTGCTGAAGTTGAGAGCCCTTTTTCCCTGGGCCTTTGAAAAAGAGGCCTCCAGATGGGATCTTTGTGATGATGCTTTGTTGAATATCAATATATTCGGCAAGATGCCTAAGATTTCCCTGACGAAGCCTTAAGTAAGAGATTATGCAGCTCCTCCATTCCTTCTTGTTGTCCAAAACAAGACATCTCGGAGAAGAGGCGATCGGGAGTACCAACGTACGGGACGTCGTGACCAGCGTTATCAGGCATTTCGGACAAATGCTCGTCTGGGGCACGACTACACCGCAATGCAGCCGGGTCGTAAATATGATCTTCAGGAGCTGCATATTGAAGATTTTGACGAAGACGAGGATCATCATCATACAACGCTCCTCCTTGTCCCGAAGAACTACAACGGCCTATTGTACCAATGTACGGGACGTCGCGACCAACATCTTCGGACGCAGGCATTTCGGACACTTCTTCTGAGGACACTCCACCTGAATCTTCAAGGAAGGTCTGGTCAAAGAAGCGTGCGCCTCCTGCTAAGAACTTAGAAGATCGTCCCAGAACTAGATTCGTCTCCGCCCCAAGGCTCCAGGCCACGAGCGGCCGCAATTCATTAGAAGAAACAAGTCATAGAAGAAACTCATGGAAGATTCATGTTGTAAAAATGTATGTACCACCTGTACAATAATTCAATTCCACCAGAGGTGAACAAGCACTGTTACAGCATACTAGGGAAGCATAGGACCTGAAGAAGCCAACGGAGAGACTTCTAGTTGTGCAACTTCTATCCGACCCCATCGGCGTCTGATCCTGGGACCACCTTTATTCATTCCCTGCTTGTACTATTCTTCTATGGAGGGGGCAAAAGGATACGGAAGGGAAGCAGAGCGAGATGAATCATCTCTCTGCTTTTCTTCCGTATCTTAAATGTTGAAATTCTTCTCAGTAGATGGATACTCCTTAAAGTTGACCATAAGATGGAACAGCTTCATCGTTTCCTGTGCGAACAGCCTCAAAGCACAAAGAGAACTCCAATGCTACCTTAGAGGAAGCAGAACAACTATAATTTGAGAGCTCCAATGCTAGTGCTACCTACCTTAGAGGAAGCAGAACAACTATAATTTTTGAACAATTTTCACTATTACTTGCTTATTTGTTTCAAGGTTTCGAGTTAGATAGTACTGATAATAAATATATATGAATATCTTGTTTTTGAGTGGAGTGAATGCGTTCAAATAACCTGCTTTGCTTCTATTATCATATAAATATATTTTGTAAGCTAAAAACTCTTATTCCAGTTTCGTGATAGAGATGATAAGGAATAATCGTTGTACCTATGTATAGCACTAGAGGCGTTTGATGATCATAGATGTTGATAATTTTTAGTTGAGCAATAGATCTTTGGATGTTTTTCGTCCCGAAGATGTTGATAATAGATCTTTGAAGATGAAGAACAAGCAGAAGTTGAAGATCATACTACTAGTAGTAAAATGATGAAAGGAAATAAAATAGATATCATGCACGAGGATCGATAACCTAAAAAAATATCAGAAAGTACTAGACCAATTCTTCAAATATTCTTGAATAGCTAGGCTACACCACCAGGTCAATCTTAATCTTAATAATACTATAGGTAGGTTACACCACCAGCTTAAGGTTAATACTCAATACTATCCTAAATAATGAGGTGGACCATGGAAGACCAAAGGACTGAATATCTTTCTCTTCTCAAACGAGCAACATCTAATAATAATGCCCTGATCCGAAGAAGATAATGATAATTGTACCTACTCTAGAGGTGGTTGTAGTGAGTAAGAGCAGACTTCTATCTTCCTGTTCCTGGTGGAATCCGGAAGATCATTAGTCCAGAAATTTTTCAAAAAAACAGATTTTTATAATATAGTTATGGAGAGTACTTACACAGAACAAGATGGGTAAGTACGTATCTATTCTATGAATAGATAGTTGTAAGTATACTCCGGCGTAGTTGTTCTTGTTCTTGATGATGATTCAGTTCCTCGATAAACCCAGACGACCGGTCTTTTTCGAACTAAGTTGCTTTTTCAAGAAACATCAAGTGTTGTAGAAAGATGAAGTTGCTTTTTCAAGAAACATCAAGTGTTGTAGAAAGATGAAGTTGCTTTTTC